CTAATGCCATTCACTAATACGTCATATATCTGAAAATGGATTAAGTAAAAATAGCTTTTGTGTTTTAGCTAAACAGCTGAAAACAACAGATTATATTCAGAGAGATGTAAAACTGAAGATACCTGCTACATTTACATTTGTTTTTGTTGTAGAATCGCTGTCACTAAACTTTCATTGTTTGATGTTTTGAGGCATGGACACATTATTTACTTTGTTAAACAACATTACACTAAGTTCCACTATGAGGATTGTTAATTTTCTTTTATTCTTTCCCATTTTAACAACATAGTAAAAGATTAAGGCACCTAAAAAGGCATACTTCATTAGCTAAAGTATACAGCTTTAAGTACAATTTTTTAAAAATCTATTTTGAGGATATATTTTAAAATACACAAAATATCTTTAAAAGCATATTGTTTTATTGGTTCACTTGTGTCATGATCCGTGTTTCTGTGTGTTTATTTTTTGAGTTTCTGTGTTTATTTGTTATCCAGTTCCCTGAGTCTCTGCGTCCTCCCCGTTGATTGATCCCAGCTCTGTCTAGTTTTTTCTGATTACCCTCCCTGTGTATTTAAACCCACCTGTTGTCTTTGTTTCTTGTCGGATCCTTGTCTAATGTCGTTGGTCGTCTTATGTCAAATCTTGTCGTGTGATGCCTGTTTTCCCCGTGCAGTTCTCCGTTGTTCCGTGCCTTTGAAATTCATCATTTTCACATACATCCTGGGTCTGCCTGCATCCGCGTCCTCACCTCAACAAACCACATAATGTCAACTTGAGCAAATACATATTTTGTTCACTTTAAGTATACTTAATATATTTCTTAAAAGTGTATTTTGGTACAATTATAATAAGTGTGTTTAAAGTTATCTTAAAATTGGTACAAGCATGCTGTTAGTGTATTTTTGTATTTATATGTACTATACTTAATACTTAGTATACTTAAAATGTACCTACACAAATGTAAGTATGTTTGAATACTAAATTATATTTTTTCACAGCATTAATGCTGTATCACTAACATGTAGTTTAAAGAGTTACAGGTTATATCGACAGAGAAAAAACAGTACTGTGTCAGATTACAAGTGAACCTTGTTTTGTTGACTGATCTAAAAAGAGAAACTTCGTGTTTTGGCCTCCAGGTCATCGTCAGAAGCTGGATGAGGTCAAACCTGGCTCACTGGCTTTCTCTGATAGGCTGACAGAGCTGGAACAGCTGAGAAGGAGCTCTATCAGAGTAACGCCTCCTCATAATCATCATCATCAGCAATCTGTAAACAGCCACCAATCTGCAGTCCTCACTTCGGCAACATTTTCTAGCCCTCCACACTCTGGACTAACAGCTGGTAAGACAGTAAAACTGAGTGTGCACTCCAGCACTTCATCCAACTAAAGATTGGATCTGAAAATATTCAGATTGAAGTTATTCTACTTCCATAAAAGATTTGTTTGTTTGAAGGCTTTTCCAATTTGTTATTCCTGACTGCATGGCGAGGTGCTTCTTCTATACAATTGATCACCAGGATATCTGAAAACAACTATAATTCCCAGAATATTTGCAGTGACTTCTCTGTAATCAGGACAAATAATTGTGCTTTAATCCAAACAAAATAGCAAACATTAATGCAGACCCTGATATTTGCAGGGATGAGACCACAACCAGATAGATTAAATCTGTGAATACTTGAGACCTCCTATAAAAATGTGTGTGACTGCCTAATACAATTGCTCAAACACCAAATATACCTTATTGTGCATTAATACACACAATGAAAACCGTCATAACTCTTCCACAGAAGCTAATATCCATGCTTTTTCTTATCTCTGCTACAAAGGAGACCAGCCAATTAGTCCCAATGAAAATAAAAATGGCTGGATTGACTGCTTTGCAAAAGGCAGCCAAACGCAAATTAGGTCACATTACACCTAGTTATTTCAGCTTTCCAAGCTGCATTTTCTTTTGACTATTTCATATATGCCCTACAAAAAAATGTGATTAAGAAGATTTTCTGCAAATAATTTGGAGTCACATTCAACAGAAGTCTAAATTTCCGCAAATAGATGAATCCATGAATATTAAACTGCAAATAGGTGAGGGCTCACTGTATCTATGGATCTTTTGGATACCACTATTCAGGTGTTTGAAAGACTAAAAGTTTATCTGGATCATCTTCATGGGATTCTGCTGCTAAGACGTTGTTATACATTTTGGGCTTTTTTCCAACCAGATGGTAGTGGCGAGAAAAAACCCCCCAAAAAAACAGTCCAGATTAGTAAACCACTTATGTGCCTTGACCATAAACACATGCTATGAAATTCGGTCAAGGTACCAAGTTCTCGATTTCAAGATGACTATTCTTCATTCTGAGACACAGCCTCCCCACTGAATACACGGATGGAGAGATAGCGTAAGAGTCTAATTGTAGACCTCTATTTTTTTTTAGAATTCTGCTATAATTCAAGCCTGTATAATAATAGTGGCTAATGAAGTCCAAAAATGGTTAAAAATTCAAATATTGTGAGAATAACACTCAGAAGGAAAGACTGCACAATATCCAGTCAAACTCATTGTCACAATGTTAATAAGTGCAATCACAAACACAATTAATAAGGAGTGGTTTGATGCAATATTTGGTACATTATATATTTTCAGGAGAGCCATGCATTCAAACTTACTGACTTGAAATGACCTTTAGTCACTTTGAGCCCAAACATTATGTAGATGTTAGAATCAGAATTCTTTTTATTGTCATTGTACACAAACGAAAGCACAATGAAATTTTAAATATTTAGTTGGTGTCTAAAGATGCTAATCCTGAGGGATATGGACATCATATTGATGGAAAAGATTTTTATTTTTATTTTTTTTAATGAATCACATTGATATTATACTATTCAAGAATAATTTCTCTTATTCTGATATCATCAAACTCTGTTGTTTTAAACCATTTAATTCATTTCTGTTTGTCTCAGATTCCAGACAGATACAGTCTTCTCCATCCTGGTCCTATGATCAGTCTTATCCCTACCTTGGCCAGATAACTACTCCCACTGTTCACACAACTGCTCCACTTTCACCTGGTCGCTCTTCTCTTGGTGACCTGTCCTCAAGACTCACAGGTAAAACATCAACATACACCATGAGCATATATGAGAGTCAACCAGATGATAATCTATGACATTTCTTTTCCCTCAGGTCCTGACCTTACACCCTTTGGTGACCCCAGGATGGCTTTGGAGCGGCCTTTTAGCTCCCTTCCCTCCCTGCCCGACTCTCGTTTCTCTAACCCTCGGGTGCACTATCCTCCTACAGGAGCTGCATTCACATACACCCCAACCCATAATCCAGTCTCTAATGGTGCCATCAGCATCACTATGGCGACAGCCATGGCAACCACCCAGACAGGACGGTACCATACATATTTGCCTCCACCGTATCCTGCAAACACCCCTCACCAAGCTCAGAATGGGCCGTTCCAGTCTACTTCATCTCCATACCACCTGTACTACTCAGCCACCACCGGCTCATACCAGTTCTCTATGATGGCTGGGGGAGGAGGCAGCAGTGACTCACATTCTCCACCTCGTATCCTCCCGCCTTGTACCACTGCATCCACAGGTTCTTCTCTTCTACACCCTTCTTTGCCCAATCAGAATGAGGGAGTGGGTGTGGAAGTGGAATCCAGCCACAGTAGCTCACCAACAAACATGGTTGCTGCTGAAGCTGTTTGGAGACCATATTGAGTCATCTGAGACAGTGATAACAGATTTTTTACTCTTATCATGGCAATGCTGCTAAGAGTAGACTCACCTGAAATAAGAATATTTTATATAATGACAACTCAAGGACTATGCGAGTCTTATCTTTACATCATTTAAGTTGTTTGACAGTGGCGGTTCTAGCCTAGGTTAACCGGCAGGGGGTGGAGCAGTTCTTTTTCATTGAGGCACAGTACAAATAAATAAATAACAGGACAATATTTCATAAGTTAAGTAAGCCACAGAGCCATTTGGTTCTCCGGAGTTGCAGATTGCAGACCCCTGAAAATGCAGATGAAAACTGTCATTCTATCTCAATGTGGCTGAAGCCAGAAGAGCAACACTTTAAAGGTGCATTATGAAACTTTTATAAAAACTATTTTTTTACATATTTGTTGAAGCTGTCACCATGTCATGGTATGAGGCAGAGAATCGGTGAAAAAAATCTAGCTCCTCTGCCTTCTCCCAGTGCTAACTAGAATATCCAGTCAGAGCCCAGAGGTGGGGGTTAGCGCTGTCTTTCACAGTGTCCTGTGGTGCTGCCAGCTTTTACCAGCAGATTCTGTTGAGTACTCAGGCTAGTTAGCATAGCTACCGATGGCTGCGGGTAAAATGGTTTTTCTGTAACAGTAAGATGTTTCTCCGCCATTAGCACATTTAGCAGCGAGTACATGAGGTTGAGTGATAGCACTAAGATCCTCCTCCTGGCTCTGATTGGTTGTTTTTGGTCGGGAGCAGCACATTTCTTCAGACTACAAAAATAGCTTGGGGGAGGAAGATCAATCCTTAGGCAGATTATCTGTCTCGTACTGTTAATATATGGTGACGGTTCTAACAATTATGTAAAAAATATGTTATTTATAAACATTACATACTGCACCTTTAATTAATTCATTGTTAAAATAAAATTGAAGGAAACCAATGTAATTGGCTCAACATAGCAATAGCTGCCTTTCTGTTAAACTTATAATTGCACAAATTATATCGTCAATGGACAATTTGAGCAATTATCCATTAAGCAATTAACACAATTTTGTACATTCCACTTTATATTGTGGAATCTAAAGACATTACCAGTAACATATTGTTTTCTTTAAAAAAAAAAGCCTCCAATTAAAAACAAAAAAAAAAAACAACTCACATTTTTTGATAAAAAGCATTTCCGCCAGGATGGGGTGGTTTTTCGGCTGTATTTAAATACTTTCTTCACATCACCAGAGTAATGAGCAGGATGTTACTACTGGCGAAAACCAGAAGAAGACACAAAGTAGTAGAAGGATGATGGTTTGTTTTGTTTTTGGGGGAGGGGTTCGGACAATGTGCATCTGGCTCCACCAAAGCTCTCACAGCATCTCACATTTTCTAAAATTTGTGTGGCATTCGAACGTGTTGAATCTTTGCTGTAAAATGACTAACTACAATTTCCCCAAAATGCCGCCTACATACCCTAACCCTAACCCTACAAAGTCTCATATCATAAATTGATTTAGTATTATCACTTTATTACAGAGGTAATAACAGGGGTTAGGACCAGTTCTGCAGGGGCACTGGCCCTTGTTTGCCCCTGCCTAAAACCGCCCAGGTTGTTTGACAGATTGAAAAAAGCCAAAGTCTTCACCCTGTCAAATTGGAATTGGATAAGCTATTCAATCTTTATGGCCTCCTGATTTTTGGACCAGATACACAAAATAACCTTATCTCATGAAATCTCCAAACATTACCGGTAATGTATTGTTTTCTTTTTGTTTTCTTAGAAAAAGCCTTGACCTGTTGAGTAAACTGTTCATTTTCTGTAGGGTTCACAAAATGTTACTGAACCTCATATATGTAGATTTTGGTGTCAATTTTTAGTGAATGGAAGTCCAATTGGTTTCACACTAGGACTGTGTGAATGCAGGTCACCAACAGTACAGCATGTGTTTTTATACCAATGAAGATACGTGTCACTTTGTGCAACTTACTCGCTAAATGACTTGTTTTTACATTTTTGCTCAGAAAGGAGCTTTACTTCACAAACATATAAGATTCAGTGTCTCAGATCTGGACACATATACTTAAGAGTCAGAGGTAAAAAGTCAAAGGTTAAAGGCATTGGTTCTATACATTGGATGTCAATTAAAGAGTTGGAAAGTATGCAGACATTTATTTTATGTTAGCCAACTTGAATATAACACTTTAATCAGTTTCATATTTCTGCCCAAATGCAACAGAGTAGCAAAGTGGAGTCCTTCCAGAAACAGAATAAAGGCTACACCAATTAACTGAGTATTAATCTTATTTTCAAAGACCATATTTTAGTGCGTCAGATGCACATTGTATTTTCCAGGCTGAATGACACTCATTACACAAAGAATCAATCATATTTATTATCCTTTTGATTGCCACTGCAGATTATATTCCCCCATTTCATGCTAAATCAAAGATCTTCTTCTGTCACATTGACTTTGCATGCCCTCTTTCACTTTACCTACTGATCTTCTCTGCAGCCTTTTCTTCATCACCAGCAGCTCTATGTTTAACATTGGTTGTGCAAGATATGCACCAAGCCCTCCACACATGTCCAGACTCTGTCAGTCTTGCCTCCAGTTGGCTGTCATTTGGATTTTCCCTTCTGCCCATTTTGTTTGCTCTTAATGGAACTCTTAAAATTATTGTGTCTTCACCCATAAATTGTTGTCCTATGTTTTTATTGGGTCCTTCATCTCCCAACATCACCGCACTGGATACATTATGCAGTCATTCCCAAAAGATTTTCCTTGCGCACATTTTATAAACTTTACTGCTCGACTCTTGTTAGAGCATATTGTCAGGTGTATGGTATTCTGAAGTTTAATAAACATTTCATAAACCATAAGCTGTTGACAACTGAATCAAGTTTAAGCAAACTGTTGTTTCCTTTTTTATGACCTCTGCAACATCCCAGTGTTGATTACCTGTGCTACCTTGTCAAATTTTCCTACTGTAGCACATCTATCTAGATAGCTATGTCTGTCAGTGCTACCTTTCAAAAACCGCTAGTGATATTTGCATACAGAAGACCTTAGCAGTTAGTGTCAATGTTAAATACCAATTATATTTAAGAGAAGGGATTTGCACTTAACAAGGATAAGTAGAATTTGAAAAAATGTGAATAACATCTTTTCTAAAAGTATCGGGTTAGGGTTAGACAGGAATCCCTCTGTTTAAAAACACCTTCTGTAAATGCACTTAAAACCTTCTTGAGAATAGCGTACCTGTTTTATCATGTAAAACTGGTACTAAAACCCCATATCAGAATCCTACCTTCACAAAATACACCTGGTAGCACATGTTGATCTACCAAAACTCCATCAAAATATCCTACCTGGTAAACACATGGGTAGCACATTTTGCTACAGCAAATTCCTTCCTTTGAATATCATTATTAAATACAGAGGTAGCACATGGCGATGGACTAAAAGGCCTTCATCAGAATATCCTACCTTTTAAAAAAATATTTTAAACACAGAGGTGTTTGTAAGAAACAGCATCAGAGGAAACAAGTTTTTATTTAAATTAAATTAAATAGACATCTACAAATACAGATCTCTGCAAACTCTTTTTTTGTGCATTAATACATTGTATGACAGTCTTTATCAAATGAAGCACAGACAAATTGTGTAGACCAAACTTCGCAGGTCACTGTGCACCTGAAATGATAGGGTATCTTAATATATGCTACACAATAATATCGCTACCAATATGATCTGTTTAACAGTTTAATAAAAAAATGTTATTAAAATAAAATATTTTAAAGTATAGGGGCAACATAGCCCACAAAACAACACATTTTGTCCTGATTCACGTGGTTGACGCCAAGCAATGACTTTCTTGTTTACAGTATGCAGTACAGTAAGGACATTGCAGACAGCAAACTAACCATTTATAAATATGTTTACAAGCTGCCTTAAAACATGCATAACACAACAGCTTACTGAAAGCCAGGTACAAAATAAACTAGATAAAGCTTACCTTAATCTTCAATGACATAAAACAGAAGAAAGAAAACTTCCACAGATAGGGTATATGAATAAATCAGCTGAGTAAGCAGTATGTGACATCGATGTGCACGTGCGCATTGCCACAAAGTAGGACGGATTGATGGTTAGCACAGATAAAACACCTGTTTGTTAAAAAAAAACAAAAAAACAAACTTGCCTACACACAATGACATTATTGTATTCTGCCAATAAATTATTTTTTTTCCATCCATTCTTATAGATATAGGCTAGTTCTTTGGTTCCCATATTACCACAGTAATATTTTACATGGATGTTCTTGTTTTTAACTCAATAGTTGTTGTAGTATTTTACTTTTAACCATGTAAACAAATTCTTTAACCATATATATCGGATTAGTGTTCCTTTAGTCAATTAAATAATTCATTTAAATTATTTTTCAGGTTTTGTAAATTATGGCATGAAATAAAATTAATGAATCACTATTAAACTTTCTCCTGTTAAATCAAAGAAAAATAAATTTAAGACCAATAGACAGTATTGAACTGAAAAAATTGTGCAAAAGAACTTAAAATAATTTCTTATAACATTGTGAACTTAAGTCTGACTGGATAAAATCATATTTTAACAAAAAGAACATTTATTGTTAAAAAATGTTTTTAAAGAAAAATTAAAACCAACTACGATTCAGCATTAGCAGAATGCTAACTCACCAAGACCAAGTATCAATGGACACAGCAACAGTTTCGCTAGCTCATGTTCCCATCAACTTAGTATAATAGATATTGAAAATTAACTTCTGGAAAGTGCTGCTAATTTTAATGATACCCACAAAGTTCAGCACAGTTCGTCTACAGCACAGGTGTTAAACTCCAATCCTGGAGGGCCACTGCCCTGCAACTTTTAGATGTGCCTCTGCTGCACCACACCTGAACAGAATAATTAGGTCATTAGCAAGGCTCAGGAGAACCGATCTACACAAGGAGGTAATGAAGCCATTTCATTCCAGGGTTTTGTACCTGTGGCACATCTAAAAACTGCAGGACAGTGGAGGACTGGAGTTTGACACCCCTGGTCTACAGCCTCCTTACATCTTCAAAGTGCAGCTGACCGTGTATTCCAAGTTAAGAAGACGGGATCACGCTTCCTTTTGAAACAGGAAATAAAGCTAAAAGAGGATCAAACTTCTTTTCAAAATAAAAGAGTTTTCATTTTTTTCAAATTAAAAACGTAAATGTGTTAATAAGAATAGGAGAGAAAAGGGGACGTTTCTCTTCTGGGTTACATTTGTTCTAAGACAAGCAAAAATAACATTTCAGGGTTGTCTCCATTTTTCCAGAACACACCTTGATGACCCCCAAGATTTTGGGAAAACAAAAGTGGGCTGACTAGACTAAAGTTGAACTCTTTGGAATTACCAATTGCCAGTTTTCAGGTTTAGGCAGCAATCACCCTTTTCACATTGGGTGATGTAAGTTGGGACGTTATTCTCCTTTTGAGAGAATAATATCAAACCAATTTAAATGTTTGAAACACTAAAATAACAAACATGCAAAAAAAAAAAAAAAAAAAAGGAAATCAGGAAGTGGTCAAACACTTTTTGCCAATAAAATTAACTTGCTGAAAACCAAAAATTGTAGAAAAAGTACTTGCATAAATAGGATTTATTATGAACTATTTTTTAAAAACAATTTACAAAAAATGCACTTATGCTTGATGAAAGACCAACAAATTCCATTGGATGTTGTCTTTGTGCTTGAGGTGTGATGGTTTCAGATATGCACCATCTCTGTTTTATCCAATATTCCAGGTGTAGCTATAGTTATTCATTGCTAAGTGCGTCAGGGTAGTTTTGCCAAGAGTGGATGGCTGCTGGAGATGATTAATTGAAGCAGGAGGAAGACCACAGTGAGTCAGGTCTCCCACTGCCTTGGTACACTATAAAACACAGAAACATGGGAGATTGCTCAATATTTACTGTGACATGACTGATTCAATATTAGTGTTAGTGTGCATCTATTATGTGATTAATATCATACCCGTTTCCTGCAGGTTTCTATGTTCATGACAGCAGTGGGTGTATGAGTATAAAGAGCAGCAGAGAAGTTGCCTTTTTGAGCAGTCTGAAGAAGAGCTGTGATGGCATGAAGAGATGAAGGAAGGATGGGTCCTAAAGTGCAAAAAGAAACTCAGTTTAAGTTCATTTGTACACCACCAACTCACAACAAATGTTATCTCAAGACACTTAAGAACTCAGGCCCCATTTGTTTCCCATCATACAAAAATACACATCAAAATCCCATCAGTAAGATCCAATCATCCAGATTAGAGTCACTGACATACAGTCTAGTTTGATTTTGTAAAGTAAAGCAGTCAAATTCAGTTTATAATGTTATCTATGAAGGACTTTGAGAGGACAGAAAGCAAGCACAGAAAACAGTAAACAATGCTTAATGAGCATCTTGTATTTGCAATTGAATTTCTTTTCATTTCATGAAAAGGGGACTGACACAGAAACAGAATCTGTCTAAACTGTGATAATATCGCCTGTTACCGCCACCTACTGGTATTTTTGTTCCAGTTTCCCTGACAATTTGGGTGGTTTCATTCAGCTCAGCTCAGCTAATGGCAAATCTAAAACTGGAGAGTAGCAGGAAAAAGTAGCAGAGTGTGGTAAGATTTTATTTTGTTGGGATTATATTAACTGTTTTGATTCTAGCAAATGACTGCAGTGAAACAGAGTGAAAAATTCAAAGGGGTCTGAATACTTTCTGAACCCACTGTATATTTCCTATGCACATAGTGCCATTTTATAACACAGTCAGTTGTTATAAGAATCCTATATATCAAATGTGACTTTAACGAAATTTGACACTGTAATTTAACACCTCTTAAAACTCCTGCTCTTTCTGAAACTCCATCGTCAGGAAGTTGCCACAACATCACTCCTCTATTAACCTTTTAACAACATTTTTACCAGCATTGCACTTAGACTTATGTTTAATCAGCTCAGTAGATGCACAATTCCACCAGTTTTTTGTTAATTGCTGCTTGCTAGTTTAAAGGACCTGGGTGGTGAAGTTGTGGGGACGGTTGCTCTGTGAGGTGGAAGCTCTGAAGTACCTATACTTCAGCTGAGGTGCAGCTCCTAAGATGCACCTCAAAGGTGTCGCCAGGTTTACTAAAGGCGTTTTGCACAGTTGAATGGTTGCTATGGGAGATTAAAGAATTTCTCAGACATGCATGAAAGAATCAAAGCAACACTCCATATATGTTTTTGGTGACGGAATAACATATCATGTAAAGCTCAAAAAAGTTGATTTAATATAATGCTACCCCTACAATATCAATATGAACAGGGTTATAGTTTTGAAAACTCAAAAAGAACATCTGTAATTCAGAAGTTAAAAAAAAAAAACATTCTAGTTCTGGTTCTGTACCTGTGAGCTCCAGACTGCTAATGTTCTGGTAGGTACAATCGACCAAATTCTTGACATTAACGCTGCGGCCCTGGAAAACACATCATAAACCAGACTGTCAAACAGGGGTTAATAAAGACTGAGTTCTTAGTAAAGGTTGATCTTACATTTCATTTTCAGTCGTTCAAAGAAAAAAAAAAACTATATATATATATATATATATATATATATATAGAGACTCAGAAACTATACCTTCAGAACATTCATGGT